CCCGCCGTAGCCGCGGCCGTCTGCGGCGGCGGCGGCGTAGCCGCAGGGGTCGGGGCCGGCCACGGCGTAGCCGCGTGCGTCCGTAGGCGCAGCGCTGTATGCGCGGCGCGGGTCCGAGGGGTCCCCATGCTGAGGCGCCATCACGCGGTGCTGCGCGTGCTGCGCATGCTGCGCGTGCTGCGCATGCTGCGCGTGCTGCGCATACGCGTCACCCGGCCGCGCCGCGTTCTGCGGCGCCGCCGGCGCCCGCTGCTGCTGCGGCTGGTGAGGGTGGGGCGCGGCGTAGTCCAGGCCGCGCGCCGCCGCGGCGGGGTGGTGCTGCGAGAGCGCCGCCGCGGTGGCCGCCGTCGGTGTGTGGTGGCCGCCGTAAGAGCCAGGCGACCCATGCTGGCCCTCATCGGCCAGCAGTGACCGCCCTGCCGGCTTAGGGGCCCCCAGGTGCTCCCACCGCCCGTGCTGGCCCGGCGTCCGGTCCGTCTCCCAGCCGCGCCGCCCGCCCCACGCCGCTTGCGCGCCCGCGGACGCGCCGCCGTCGGCGCCGCCGCCGTCGGAGCTCTCGCCGCGCTGCAGCAGGCGCATCTGGGGGGCGCCCGGCTGCTGAGGGGGGGCGCCATACCTAGAAAATGCGGGGAGGGCGTAGCGTGATGCCGCCAGCGCAGGGGTCAGCAAGGATGGCTGCCGGCGATGCGCGCGCCTCAACAGCAGCACGGGTGGGAAAACTAAATGCGCCCACAACAGACAACTTTATTAATGAGCGGCGGCCCAGCAGCGGGCCCGTTGTGCGACCTCTAGAGGGGGGCCGAGAGCCGCGGCCGGCTGGCTTGCCACCAGTGCGTGTGGCACGCTGCTATGCACGGCATGCGCGTGGCATGTGCATGGCATGCACATGGCATGGCGTAGTGCTCGGCATGCAATGCAGCCGTTGGCTCACCCGTCCATGGGGCCACCCTGAGGCGGCAGGCCGCGACTCATCACCTGTGGCGGCGAGGTGCGGCGTGAGGAGCGTGCGTGCGCGCGTGTGCCCTTGCCCCTGCCGTCAGCGCGGCGTGCGGATACATGCGAGCATGCAGCAGGCACAGAAACCGCTTGCTGGCGAAGAAGCCCGCCGCACAGGCCAGCGCCGGCGGAACTTGAGGCGCGAAGCCTCACATCACTAGCTGTGCGCCCCAACTCGTCCTCCACGATGTCACCCCACGCCTTGCCAGGCATGTCTCCCGCGCTCGCGAACGGTTCCTGGCGCAGGTGCTCGGCTGGCGCGCCGGGGTCGCCGCCGGTTGAAGGCGCGCCTTCCGCCGCCGCGCCGCCGCGGGGCCAGGTCTTGCGGCTTGTATGCCGCGCTGCTGGAGGCCGGGCGCGCACCAAGGGCGTGAACCCAGCTAGCTCCCTCCGAGTGATCTGAGACGGGCAAAAGGAACACCCTCAGCAGTGGAGTACTTGCAAGTGAAACTGGACGATGTGCTTGGCTTCGGTTGGGCTAAGACGCACTGGCCCTCCCCCATGAACTGTGGCTGCTTTCCGACACTTCAGGTGCCACGCACGCTGTTGCCCCGCGCGCCTGGTGGGTAGGCCGTGCCAGACAGATGCTCTGATTTTCTGTGCACGCTTGTCACGTCGTGCAGCCTCACAGTGGCCATGCGCCAACGCGCCCGATTGCACTCTGGCACCTGCACACGGCCAACTGCTTGCGGTTTAGCAGCTGTCACGGGCCATCGCTTGGGAGGCCGGGCTTAGCATTTCTGCTGTTCCTAGGTGGGCAGTTGCATGGGTCCGTGGACGCTTGGATGGCACAGGCTGGCATGCGAGCAGCAATGTCGGCCTCTCCGATTGCCCACCGACCAGGTTGGAGGCGTGAGCCTAGTTTGGTGCATGAACCTGGCACAAAGAGAGAAGCAACGGAATGTCATTAAGACCTTTTCTGGCTCAGCACCGCATGCTAAGGTCGGTTACCCATCAACTGACATTCATAACAGAACAGGCGCAGGCAGTCCAGCTTGACAGGGTGTTGGGCGCTGGAATGACCTGCACGCCCAACACCGCAGCTTATCCCCGGGTCTCTTCAAATAATAAGGCAGGCAGTGATGCAATATGTGGGAAAAAGGCGCTGCCGGTCCTGGTTCCTCCATGTGCGGGCCAGCGGCACCACTGGTGTAATGAACACAATGGCACAACGCCTTGTTCTCCTGAAGTACAACGGACTGTTACCCTGACACGTCGCTTGGTACATTAAGGGGCAGTGTACTTTCCCGTGCAAAGCACACATGTCGCCGCGCGAACGAACGTCGCCGCGTGGCCGGCTGGGCTAGCCGGCACCCATGCGCAGTTCTCGAGTACCGGTTGCACGGTCCAGGTGTGTAGACACATCACACTGGGCACACATAGCAGGTCAAAGCGGGTTAGTATTGTGATGAGATTTCTTAAGAATTTGTTGTGCAGTGTATGTTGAACGCTCAGTTAGCATAAGCAGCGGCCGTGGCCAGGCCGAGATCACGCGCGATCTGCAGCGTTGCCCTCTGCTTTTAGAATGGCGTCTCAATGGTCAATCAAGTGAGTAGGGATTGGCTTCTGATTGCTGATGTGAGACGTTGCCACCGTTTGCCTTGCAAGGCACGCTCCCTGGTGCCTGGTGTGCTGGTGCCTTCCTCGTGCATGCTGCTGTCGCTTGGCGCAGCCACTGCCGCCACCCCTGCGTATTCTCTCCCCTCTCACCCCCTCGGTCCGCATCTGCAGGAACTGGGACGCCGATAGTTTCCTGCAGCAAGCCCTGAGCGATGCGCTGGAGCGCCACGCAGCGATTTACGCTTGCGTCTTCCTGCCGCCAGGGCCGGACGGCCTCGAGCTGCTGGCGGCGGGCTACAGCAGCGGCGGCATCAGGTGCGCCTGCGACTCAAAAGGTTGGCTGCAGAGATAAAGCCTCGCCGCCGACGACCGCAGGCGGCAGGAGCGGCGCGGCGGCGGCCGCGACGAGACGCGTCAGCACCGCTGGCCGTCGCGTCCGGCTCGCGCGGTTGCAAATGCAGCCTTGCGCCCCGGGCCCACCCCCCGATCGGCCACCCCTCCGCGCAGGGTGTTTGACTGGCGGCAGGCCTCCAAGCTGTGGCTCAGCTCGCGGCAAGCGGCGCGGCACAGCCTGCACTGGCACGCGCACCCGGGCGGCGTGTACGCGCTCGCGGTCGCAGGGGAAGGTGCGCGCCTGGGCGGGCCGCGGACGCTCGCTTCCAGGCGTTTCGACATCATTTCACCTGCGGGCTCGCCTCAGCCTGGCTGACGGCCACCCGGGGGATCTGCGGCTGCCGCGGCCGCCTGTCGCTTTCTGTTGACCCGGCCCGCCCGCGCGCGGCACGCAGGGCCGTCCGCGGCGCTGATCAGCTGCGGCGACGACGGCGCCGTGCGCGGCTGGAGCGTGCGAGAAATATGCGAGGTGGTCAAAGAGCAGCAGCAGCAGCAGCAGCAGCAGCAACCGCAGCAGCAGCAACCGCAGCAGCAGCAGCGGCCCGGCGCGGGCCCTCGGGCGCTGTTCGAGGTCACAGTGCCCAGAGCCGACCCGCCCTTCCCCATAACGGCGTCGGCGCACCCGGCGGCGCAGGCACTTTCAGTCGACCAGGCGCGGGGCGCGGCGTACGTGGGCGCGAGCGACGGCGGAGTGCACTTGTATGACCTGGGGCGGCTCGGAGAGGGCGGCGGCAAGCGGGGGGGCGGCGGTGCCGCAGCAGGCGGCGGCGGTGGCGGGGCGGGGCCGGCGGCGTCGTTCGCGGGCCACGCGGCGGCGGTGCTGGGGATGGACTGCTGCGGCGCGACGGGGCAGGTCGCGACGGCGTCGGAGGTGCGGGCTGGGGCCGCGCATGGAGGAGCCACGAGCGGCTCGGGGAATCGGGAGGTCGTTTGCATTGCGGAAAAACAACTGGGGTGAAGAATCAATTTTTTCCAGAGCGGTCATGCGTTGAGGAGTGGGGCGGATCCTTCAAGCCCTCGTGTTCTCGGCTAGGAGGCGCGTTTGGCACACCGCGAAATGCAAAGACAGCGCAGAGCAGCTTGGGCCGCTGCCGTGACAACTCATGCCAGCCCTTTGCATTTGTTGCCTCGGAGCAAGACCCTTCTCTGTACCCACTCACGAGCCAACCCCAGCTGCACGCATCAACCCATCACGCCGCCGACAGGACGCGACCGTCCGCGTGTGGGACGCCCGCGCCCCCGCCCCCTGCACCTCCGCCATCGACGTCTGGAACGGCGCCCCGCTGCCGCCGTCCTCGCGCCCCGACCAGCTGCGGTGCCTCCGGTCGCCGCCCGTGCCGTGCGTGCGATTCGACGCGGGCGGCGGGTGGCTGGTGGCGGGCAGCGGGAACGGCAGCCTCAGCATGTGGAGCCTGGGCTTGGGCGCGCTTGCGAAGCAGTTGGGGACCGACGGCTGCATACCGCAGGTCAGGGGCGGCTGGGGTTTGGGGTTTAGGGTTTAGGGGCCACAGCGCAGCCCTCTCGCAGCCGCAGCTGGGCCGGCGCAGCTGCAAACGCTGGGGCGGGCCACCGCAGCCGCAGCTGGCGCGCTCCAGGGAAGGCGGAGGCAGGGCAGCAGCACACCGGGCGGGCCTGTGGTATGGCCTGGGTCCCCTGGTCCAGAAAGGCGGGTGCAAGCGCCGCACCCATCGCCCCCGTCGCCCCTGCCGCCTTTAGC